TTCAATATTTCTGCACGGGGTTTGCGTGGTGTCATAGAATTTCAAACGGTGTCACGGGTGTTAACGTTAAGCCGCTTAGCTTGGACTTCACCTTGTTGTTTGTGGCTTAAAAAAATAAGGCTCCTTCTTGGGATTGTTAAAAAAATTTTCTTCCGCTATGGTTCAATGAAACGTCAACGTTGGGGGGCGGGCGTAAAATTATTGCCTTTTTCAGGAGATGGAGTTTCTTGGGGTCTTGTTTTTGAGAGCCAAATAAATAAGATGGTTTATAAAATTACCCAAAAGATTTGGGGGGTTAAATTCTTTCTCTAATTCACTTTCCGTTTTGGAAGGTTTTTCTAAAACCCCTCTGGTTTAAAAGGAAAAATTAGGGGATCCCTCCTTTTTTTTAGTTTATTTAAGAGTTCAAGCAGATTTTTTTGATTCAAAAGGCCATCATTTACTTTTCTTAGGGCTGTATGGCCATTAAAGTTTCTTTTTAGAATTTCCTTGGTGTTTACAATGTAGGAATAGTAAGTATCCTGTGGGAATTTTCTGAATCCATTCTAATTTCTTCAGGACTTTCAATTGTTTCTGAGTTATCCAGTGGAATTTGATGAGTTTGTATTGTTGTAGTATCATTAGAGCAATCATCTTCAAATTCATCATCATCATCATCATCATCTTTAGAAAAGTCATCAATTTCAGTGTCACCTTCAGACTCATATTGTTTACCAAATATATTTTCAGTTCCAATATTTTGAAAGTGAGTAGTAACACTATTGTTAGTAAAACTTAAATTACGATTGGAATTAGAATTATTGTTCAATGCTTTTATATCATTGACGTTTTCATCAAAATTTATTTTGCAAAATCTCTTGGATGACTGTAAAGACTCATCCGAATCTATTGTATCAATCCTCAAGTCCCTTTTTTTACCTCTATTGTTTATAAATTCTTCATTCTGGATTTTTTTTGATTGCAATGGATCATCAGAGTCTAAGGAAGTTATAGATAAAATTGTAATATTCCCAAACTTGAGCATTTCATCGTAACTTAAATTTTGAAAAGGTGGTAATTCTCTTGCAGGAGAAGTTTCATCAAAATTATTATCGTAGTCATCTGTTGCTGTGGGCGATAAGCATCTTCTCAAAGAATCCTCTAATAAGGTTGCCAAATCTCTTGTCTTTTTCAAATCTACCAAGACATGGTTGGATAAATATGTTCCTTTCTTGCAATCAATTTTCGATAATTCAGTCTTATTCAATTTTTCCAAGATTCTCTCAGTTTTTGATTCAATTAATTCATTTATCTTTTTCACTGAAATACTTTGCTGAGAATTATGGTGATGGAACTTATGGTTTTTCAATTTCAATTTTATATGCTCTTTGATATTATTAAATTTTCTAATTTTTTTTAATTTTAAGTCATTGCACAATTCGTTATTACTCCCACTTGAACCCTCGAAATCTTCTTCTTCTTCCTCATCATCATATTCTTCAACGTTTTGCTGTCCACTATATAGAAGATTTGATTGATTTAAATTTGGAATCAATAATAAATCATCAATATTTTCATCTATAGTGATATTTTCATTATTATTAAATTTATCATCATATTCTTCTCTATAAAAAAAATGATGAAACCAAATTTTCATAGTAGTTCTTTTTAAATGATCATGATGAAGCAAATTCATAGCGACAATGTTTATAACTTCGATGGAACTAATGTTTACAAATACTGTTTATGGGATAACCAAATATATTTCATTCTATATGTTTTTATTAGAATAAAATTTGTTTTTTAAACAAATTTCTCTATTTAGCAATACAAAGAGGATTGTTACTCAAATTAAACCTTTGATAAATGATATTTTCGACCTCTGATTGTAAATACAAAACATTTAAGATTTGTAGTTTCGAATATATGTATGTCAATAAATCCTTACTTGAACACAAATTAAACAAAGGTTGTGATCGTTATTGTTTTAGCAACAGCTTAGAGAAACTGTCACTTGTAGAAAAGGATTTAGTGTCGCTGACACATACTAATTCTAGTTGGAACAAAAATAATTGCTAAAGACATCAAGAAAGTGATAGAAGCTACCATTTCTAAAATGGATTGCTTTTACCCCACTGGCATGTATTGTTGGTATTTTAACATTCGATTCAGTGTATTATTTTCATTGTTCGCCATAACATTGGTTAAAATTTATATTTTATTCATTATTGCTTGACATGCGAGATACATGCGAAGCTATGCATCACCATTGGCAACAGTGTGTTTGTGTGAGTATATGTGTCTGTATTTGCATTTTAATAAATATTTAAAAATAGATATTTGTATGTGATTATCACAAGAAGTTGGTATTTAGTTATATCGTTTTGAGAATTAATTATAATTCTAGTTGGTTAAATTTTTTTTCACTTGTGGTCATATAACCCCTCCCCCTCGAAATGGTTTTATTCAAAACGTATCTCTTGAAAGCAAATTACAGAATCTTTCATGAGAGTCATGATCGTAGGTAAAAGTCTATTGATTTGTCTATGGTAAGAGAAAAGAAAGGTTAGGGGTTAGCAAGAATCAATTGACCATGTGATAGCGTCAGCGATATTGTGGACATAAGACAAAAGAAAAGTGGTAATAGCAGTTTTGCATTAATTTACGAATCTGTTGCAAAGGTAATCTATCAATCACTGAAATAAACGTTTTTGTTTAATTTTATTGTATATTTTTAAATTATTGGAGTACAATCCCTTCTAGGGAAGGATAACCCAAAAACTATCATTTTCTCATAGAGAATATGATACATTATGGTTTAAATCAGGCATTAATTAAATGTAAAATATCTCAGATCGAGATCCCGATCACGCCAACCAAAAACTGGTATAAGCATCGAGAACAATGACAAGGACAAACACCAGAACAACAATAAGAACAAGAGCACTAGGCTAATAAGAAAGATGGTCAGTGCAAGCTGCATTGACCCGGCCCAGTCATTTCTACTCTCTTTCCTTCCCCTCAGTCACGTTATCCATCTATCACTAGAAGCAGCCAAGAAGCTGAGAGATTTTATTTTTAGCGTTACAATCCAAGATCCTCTCTTCCTCTTTGGTCCCCGTTGTCAAGTAGAACGAACGAGCATCCTTTCTCAAGGAAGGGATCACTAGGATGATGTTTTCGTTAAGGCATTATACCCTTCATTATATATTTATATATGTATGTATATATATATACAAAAGTGAAATATAATATAACATGATGTGCTGAGAGCATAGTATGGTAAAATTGTGATGCATCTCTCAGTTTATATCCGCACCAATCAAACGAAGGTACCATTGGCAATTGAGATATAAAGTCCTCTTTTCTTTTCGATATTTCCTAATTTGTTGTGACCGTTTTATGCATTGGGAATTCTGTTACTTGGCCTTGTACGTCAGTCTGTCTGTGAAATCTAAAAGTAATCCAAATTTGGAAAATATGCATTTTTGTAGTATTGGACGTTTGTATATACTAATATCCGAATTAGGAAGTATGTTTCTATTCTTATATGTTTTGGTACGGACGTTTCTCTTGTAGAAGCGGTTTTAAATATAACCGAAAATCTTTTTTCTTTTTTTCTAATTGTTTTTGTTGTGTCCGAAAACAGAGGCGGCTCTACCCTTTTCGGAAACGTCGCTGGATTCCTTTTCGGAGACTTAGTATTCCAAAATTAGTAATCAGTACCGTTATTTGGATACTTTGTAAATAATTACATCAACTGCTACTGTTGTCCTTGCTGTTATTACTGATTATTGGACTTCTGTTGCATTACGTTACGTTACGTATTTTGGAAACCGAAGAAGAATATGTAAATTTGTATAAATCAAAACTAAAACTAAAACTAAAAGTATAGCCAAAAGCACAAACAAAAATAATTAATATCAAAAGGGTATGGTTGGTTGGTTATTGAATAATTTCAAATTCTATTCGTGAATTCAAATATAGTAGAAGGTTTAAAAATAAATTTCAAATAAAAATAAGACAATTTGCCCTACGATATATGACTAATGCAATACAAATCGAATAAATACGACTAACGAATTGATTTCAACCAATTTTTTCCAATTCTTATTGTTACTTTCTGTTATTGGCTACCCTCATTTTTGCTTTTTTTATTGTATTCCCATTCCCATTTGTAAAAATAGCACATTTCAGCAATCTATTGAAACCGAGCATCTTTGTTTAATCTTGGAGTGCATCTGCATCGTAATAAGTCTATCTGAAAAAACATCTGATTATTTCATGAGTGATTTCAATTGACCTTATTCGTTCGTTATATCCAGATGTTGTGTGTAACTATCTAGCTCGGATTCAGCTTAAAGTTAAACAAAAAAATATAACTATATATCTTAACTACAACAAAATGTCGCAATAATCATCCCTGAACTACAGCACAATCTCCGTGTTGTGTGTAGTTTATTTGTTGCAAAAATTGACATCAGAAGTTCTAAATAATTTTCTATTATGTACTACACTACGTAATACATACAAAGGGATACCCATAGCATTGCTACTTATTCTAAATTTATTTGTAAATTGCCTTGGGCCTTTCCCTTAGTCTTCAGATTTGAGATATAATCATTTATATGATTATATACAAGGAATCCCGTAGAATACAATTCAATTCAATCCAAAAAAAAAATTTGTAACTGGAAAGAAAGAATATTTGCACTAATAGGAATGCCTTGTCTTACAAGAATTTGAATGCTGTAAACAATTTTGTTTTCATTTCGTAGAAATAGTTAAGATTATTAATTTACAGTACCATATTCAATTAAAAGTCAGTACTGGCTTGCAACCATCGTCCACCTATCCTGGTCTTTGTCTCCTTCGTCGTTCGACTTATTCGGTGTTGTCACTTGTGTGGTTGTGATGATGATGATGATGACCTATATTCCTTTTCCATCTGTTTTTACCCTTTTTAAACTTAATTGGTTTGTCAATTGTTTTAGTATCTAATATCTGCTTCTCTTTCTCTTTCTCTTTTTCTTTCTACTTCTCTGTTCAGCTGTTGCTCATGCTTTTTTACTTCAAATTTAGCATAAGAACAAAAATAAAAATAGCTTTTTATTACAGCAACTTTTACTGTTACTTCTTGTTGTTCTAAAAACATCCTAGAGAAGTGGATGTTATCTTTTAGAGGTTCATTATCGAAAACAAAAAGTAACTTCTTTGTTCACAAATTTATTGGTTGAACCTTCATTTTATTGAATTTTTCTATCAAAAATATACATCATCTAGTCTATTCATCCATTTCATTGATAATTTAGATTTTTTTTTTTTTCAGCTAGTATATTTTCAGAGTAACTATATCGATATCTTATTTCGAAGATGAATTAAGTAAGGAAGTAATAGATTGAATAAAACTAAAATACACGCAAATTTATTCGTCCGTCTTACCACTAATACCTTTTACTTGAATCGTATCTATTGTAAACAATTAAATTGAATATATTCCCTTCTTAGTACAATTAATAAATAAATGTATATCTCTGCAGTTGGTTGGTTGTTTGTTATCACTGTTGTGCTGAGTTGTGTTGTGTTTTGTTGGTTTTTACTAAACAATACAAAACTTTGTAATCCTCCTTAATAGTTGGAAACCACTCGCACCTTAGCACCTTTCCATACTACGTTAAGATGTATTATTGTTCATAATTTTATTATGAACAATTAAAAAAAAAAAAATGTCCTCTTCCTCTCTATACGTTCATCATCAAACCAAAATAAAGAGAGAACTCATTCAAATCTAACTCAAACATAGAGTTAGAGGTCTTCTCTGGCCCCTCGATATTAGTCGGTTTACCATTAAATCGATGTAATTATATGGATGACGGTATTTTAAAAAAAAATTTCCTCTTCTTATTCAATTTCAATAAACATATAAATAGTTAATCCATATCTCAACCATTGAAAATGCAGATTTATTTCGAATTTTTTATTTCTTTCGATTTAGTATGAATACCTATTCCTTCTTAGTATACATTCATTTCGGTTTCATATTTCCTTCATTCTTGATCTCAGAACATCAATTAGGTTTAATTAATAAATTAATAATAATAATAATTACAATAATAATATAAGGGCAATATCCTAATAACTAATATTTTTAATAATTAATTAACTCACCTTATTCGTAATTTAATCATTAATTTATTGCTGTCACTTATATTTATTGATATTAATTACCTAATATAAAATATTCATTATGCCTGCTACCGATTATTTAATTAAGGCTGGTAACCAAGCTATTAGAGTTAACCCTCCAAATGGTGTCGATTTCCACATCACTAACCGTGGTTCAGATTGGTTATTCTCTGCCTTCTGTTTATTCGCTTTCTTCTGTATCATTTTAGTCGTATTCATGTTCAGAAAACCAGCTAATGAAAGATTGTTTTACTACACCGGTATTGCTCCAAGTTTAGTCATGGCTATTGCTTACTTCACCATGGCTTCTAACTTGGGTTGGGCTCCAGTTAGAGCTGAATTCAACCATGTCAGAACAAGCACTCAAGAAGAACACCCAGGTTACAGACAAATTTTCTACGCTAGATACGTCGGTTGGTTCTTGGCTTTCCCATGGCCAATTATTCAAGCTTGTTTGTTAGGTAACACTCCAGTATGGCAAATTTGCTTCAACATCGCTATGACTGAAGTCTTCACAATTGGTTTCTTGGTCGCTTCTGTTGTCCACTCCACTTATAAATGGGGTTACTTCGTTTTCGGTATTGCTGGTGCTTTAGTCGCTTCAATCTCTGTCTTAACTACCACCAGAAACTTAGTTAAGCCAATTGGTAGAGATGTCTGGTTGATCTTTAACTGTTACTATGGTGCTTTCATGTTCTTGTGGTTCATTTACCCAGTTGCTTTCGGTATCTCCGATGGTGGTAACGTTTTGCAACCAGATTCCTCTTCTGTCTTCCATGGTATTTTAGATGTCTTGGCTTTAGGTGTTATGCCAGCTTTGTTCGTTCCAATTGCCTACAACATTGGTTTGGACAGATTAGGTTTGAGAGGTTACGATGAAGGTATCGGTGGTATGTTCCATGAAAAATCAGTCTCTGGTATTTCTTCCATGAGAAACTCTGGTGAAACCGCTGTTTCCTCTCCAAAATCTCCAGCTTCTCCAGTTTCCTCTGGTACTCCAGTCGAAAAGAAGAAGAAGAAGTCTAAGAAGTCAAAGAAGGCTAAGAAGACTTCAGAATAAGTTGCATAGCTACTGCTGTGGTTTGATACCAAATTTCATAATTTCAATTTCGATTTCACTGTTATTATATCGTCTTTAATGTTCTTAAATAATTCTTTTTAATACCTTTTATACAAAAATTTTAATATAGTACTAATTCGTATGATCTCATACGTCATAGTTGGTCAATTTATTAAAGGGGCATAGACCTTTAGAATGAACAAATAAGGTTGGATTGTTACGAAATTTCCTGTTTGTACAAGATTTTTGACATAAATTTTATATATTAATACTATAGTTCAAGTCAATAATTGAGATCTTTTCCAAAAATATAATATATTTATTCATATTCACCAAATAAATTGAAAGACTACATATGGAAATTTAGCCAATATATATACATATATCGAATATTCTTAAAATTAATTCCTGTCATCTTTAGTGACATTGACGATCAATTGCAATTTGTGTCAGAATTATGAGGTAACACGTGATCTAAACGTATTACGACATTATTCATATAGGATAAAGAAATGTTACTTTACACGAAACTGTTATTTCTGACGTTAAAACTTTTCCAACACTTTATATAAGAAATGACAAGATCTTAATCGACACTTGTCATGTTAATTATATTCCCATGTGTATATTATATACTTTAATACACCGGATCAATATCAACTTATTAAGAATGTCCTTGGAAATAAATAAAGAATCTATTACTATGAACGATTCGGTAGAAAAATCACAACTTACTTCTCTACAAGTATAGACATTTTTTATTTATTACTGGATTGTAGGATTGGTCTCAACTGTCATTGTCACTGGTTTACTAGATAACTGGATCCTTTCTTTATTCTGATACATAGTTACTTAATATATGACGTTACATAAGGTTCTTTTATACTTCAAGATGCCTTGAAGAATTTTCACTTCGGACAGACACTCGTGAGACATGATAATATGGCTTTATAAGAAACGTCACATGACCAATGTCAGCATTTATATTAAATACTTCTGGTATGTAGGATTACGTTGGCTCATTGTGGTCACTCTGTTACTAGATAACTGGATCCTTTCTTTATTCTGATACATAGTTACTTAATATATGACGTTACATAAGGTTCTTTTATACTTCAAGATGCCTTGAAGAATTTTCACTTCGGACAGACACTCGTGAGACATGATAATATGGCTTTATAAGAAAAGTCACATGACTAATGTCAGCAAATACGATATGTCAAAACTTAAATTTTTCGTGCACCTATAAAAATCCTTATCATTACTAATAAGAACTATATCAGTAATAATTTTAACTTTAGTGAAGCATTTGTAACTTTAATGAATTAATCATGAATATAACTCTTCAACATCATCTTATTAAGATTTTCCTACTTCAACAAGCAATTGGAGGGTTGGCCGAGTGGTCTAAGGCGGCAGACTTAAGATCTGTTGGACGGTTGTCCGCGCGAGTTCGAACCTCGCATCCTTCAAATTTTTTTGCTTATTGTTACTCCTAATCCAAACTAAGACTGTATATGATTTATATTTCAAGCTCTTCAAGAAATTCGTTCTTTGACTATCAATTATCAGTATTATAAAGTCAGTATTTTTCAATAAAAATCTAATACCTTTGCTAAGTTGAGAAGACTAAAAGGGAACTCTAAATACAACCCTCCTTCATTTTGGGAGCTAGATTAGAATCATTATAAATGGATTACGAATAAAAAATCAAAGTATCATTTATATTTATTTCTGTGACTATTATAATCATAATAATAATAATATTCAAACACATAAACAACTTTTGTATAACTCCTCAATTTTATATCCCTATCTAGTACTGATCGATATAGTTTTTGAATGCCAGCAGGTTATGCTACTGTATAGATAAATGGTTAATTGGCACGTTTCTGACCTTGATTGCCATTAATATATATATCCTAAATATATATACAATCATCGTTGAATAATTTGAATAAATTTACTGATTAACTATACCACAAAATTCTTTAAATTCGAAGAATAACAATAGAACTTCTGATAACTGAACTGTTACATTTCCTGTATTTATATTCAATGAAACGAAATTTTTGTGTATTTACTAAACTATTGAATATAAAAGAAGTACTCCTAGATGTTGTGACACTTGAAACTTGAAAATTTTTATTGAGATAGTAGTTAAAACAATTATTTTATTCCAAATATATTTAGAAGACACCATAACAAGATGTCTTCGGAGGATACTGATTACATCTTAGATGGAGCATTGTTGTTATTTTTTGTTGGATTAGGTTTATATATAACAGGTTCGGTAATTGTAGATTTAGATAGAGGAAGGCTTTTAAAACAGGCAACTGAAGATTTAGCTTTAATTAGAAGATTTCTCAATATAACGAATGGAACAATGATAACTTGACTTTGCTAGTTTAAGAAAAAATTTTCTGCAAAACGATTCTTAGTCTAGCAGTTTTATTAAAACATCCTAGTAAATACCTAGAAGACATTTATAAGCATAGGTTTTTATAGTAAATAATGCCTTTATATTTCAATACACAAATACACAATTAAGATAGTCAACAAAAGAACAAATTAATTTAACACATTCTTCATATATATTATTTTCAATAATGTAGCTTGATTAAAAAATATTGAACTATTTGTTTTATTATGCTGTACTGTATTCTTTGAGTTTAATTAAAGATAAGTTTAAATTTTGCTGACGAATTTTAGTTTTCAAGAATAAAAAAAAATATATGATAAGCATGAAAAATTTGAGGATATTAACTAAATAATAATATATTAACTAAATAATAATATATTAAAATTAATCATTCTAAATAATTATTAGTACGGTAGAAAAGTATGCAAAAGAAATCAGTAAATACTAAATATTTTGGAGGAAGGTTGAAAGCTGTTCTATAAAATATACAAAACCAACAAGATTAATGACATTATTTATTTGGAGAAATCATCAAAGACTACCCTCTATTCAATATAATAATGTCTCTAATTCACAAAAAAAAATGCTAGGGTGTAATGTTAATCTGTGATTTGTCAAAGTGATATAATAATGATTTAAAATCTGCCCCCCCCCACAATATAATTTATCAACAATTATGCGAATTGATTGCCAATTGATACTGAACTAGCTGAATTATAGTTGGAATAATGCCCCACAATAAATTTTCAACTTGTAACTATTTAACAGTAATACCTCAGGCAACAGAATTATTGTCACATAAAATGATAGGTACGTGGAAAAACACTGACAAAAACTCAGCGACTGTCATCACTCCCAATTCCAAGTGACAATAAAATATTCTACTGAAAAAATCTAGTTCGATTATTTTAAAATGTTGAAATAAAATTTGAAATATGAAACTAGCATAGTTTATAGTACTGTCAATATATGACATCTCTTTCACTAATAGAATATCCATTTTAAGCATATTGGATTCGAAAGATATTCAGTCAGCTAACAAAGCGACTTTCCCACGATTTGCGCCCTCTGTAATTTTTGTTTCTCCTGGTATTTTTTGTTCTTCTGGAATTTCTTGCTCCAATTTAGGTAAACCTTCTGTACTTGGCATATTATCAATTGAAATAGGTTTCCCAATAATTTCTTGTTCTAAATCATCCAATTCTCTATCTATTTCATCTTCAAAATTTTCCACCCCGACAATACTTCTTGATAATATGTCATTGATTTCGTTCTGATAGGCAATTTGTTCTTGGACATCATCCATAAGTTCATCCGCATTAGCAAGCTCTTTATTAAGTTTTTTCAAAATCTCATTACCTGATTTCAATCCTTCAACAAACCTTCTTTCCACTAATTTAAATTCAATATTGGAAACCATATTTTCCAAGTTAATCAATTGGTCGGAGGCCTTTTGAAGTAAGTCTTCTTGGTAATGGATTCTCTTTAATAGAAATCTAACCGATGCATTGTTCTTATACGTTTTCGGATTATTTTTGATCATCTCCTTCAACCTCGACCTCTCATTATTAATCAGTAACTCTGTTTTCTTTGTGTACTTATGAATTTCATCCTTTGATACTTTTAGTTGCAATATTGCCCTATCAGTACCAGTGACTTGAACTTTACTACCTCTTTGTCCCATTTATAATAGTCAAGTGAAATACTTCAAAAAAGAATCCAGCTCAAGCTCAATATTACAATTCAACCAATAACGAACGTATACAGATTTTAACTAACCCAAATAGTATCAACACCTATTCATAATGACTAAAATGTTACTGTTTCAAGTATGATTTGATATTAAATTTAAACCTTTTTATATTCGAATCGAATCAATTTTGAGATTTCGGTTTAAATTTCTCGTGAAGACAAGCCAAAATAGGAACCGTTCTTAACTATGGGTAGAATTATCATTCAAGACTATAAATTATGTAATGATAAGAGATTAAGATGGAGCAATGCTATGATATATATGAAATGATTAATAAAAATGTGCATTGATCTAAAAAGAAGGACAACTACAAAAGTAGTAACTATAGAATAATTCTATCTTATTAATATATTAAATATGCAAATTATTATTTCAAATGTCACACTATACTTATTGCCATAGACTATTCCAATTAACATTTTTCCTAACTGCATTCGAGAAACCTTCTTTATATTTAACCCAAATACGAGAATGGTCTACTATAGGTGTGGATTTATCGTTTTCACCATTTTCACTTGATATTTTATTATTATTTGAAGTTGAATCTTCATTCTTTTTCAATGAACGATATTGTTTTAAGAAGTCATTAATTTTCGTTGATGAGTTTGAATCTTTCTTTAATTTTTTGTTGTTATTCTGGGTTTCTTCATTTTGTAATTTATATGCGGAGACCTTATCAAAATGTCTTTTTTTAACTTTATTTTCTTCAAATTTTGCCAGTAGCAGGTTTAATAAAATTGGTCTTTTGGTAATTACTTCTTTTGAACGTTTTGAATCAATTATAACAATCTTGTTAATTGGTGGATCGATCGACAATATTTTTTTATTAAGGTCAATTAAATTAGAGTCATTATCATTAAATTTTGTGTTTGATATTGTTTGAATATGATTGTACATTAGATTCAACTGATAATTTTTCATTATATCGATAATATTATCAAAAATTATATTTTTAACTTTCAAATTTCTGATTTTTGAATAATCGGATGAAATTATGAAATCTAAGTAAGGTAAAATTTCAAACATTAATACATTATTGTTCAAAAAATTTGATAAAAATGATGAATTTAATGAAATATTCGAAATCAATAAGTTAGAGATATCTTTATTTAATTTAATAGATTCTCTTAGCTCATAATCGACATTAACAATCCTTAGATCTTTTTTATTGGCAACGTCACTAAATAGATTAAAAAATTTCATAGGAACCACTGAATTATATTTCAATAATTCACCATTATTTAATTCATATAACGAACTTGACATCAAATCATAGAAGTATAACCAGTCCGATATCTCTGAGGGTTTATTTACACCAAAATCCGAATACTTTACAGAAAGATATAACGAATGACAACCTTGAATAATTTTATCGAAATTACCACTCATTTCAATCTTTTCCATTAGGTTTATCAGTTGTGATCTATTATCCAATTGTGAATTTTTTTGGAAAACTTCATTAACAATTTTAAACCATGATTGTGTAAAATCTTTTACGATATTACTTTTATCTAATTTTTTATCGTTTGGATTACATTTTTTGATTTGAACAGATAAGAATTGTAAATTATTTATACAATTTCTGATATCGTTTTGTGAAGTCAAAATTAAATCCTTTAAATTATTTGCTGAAAAAAAATCATTATCTAATAGTAGATCATTTTTTTTAAATTCATGGTCAATGATAAAATTCAATCTCTCTAGAATTGAATTTTCATTTGGTTTTTTAAATGAAATAATTTCACAATATGGTTTCAATTTTTCTAAAGATGGAGAATAAATGTTATTACAGATACAGATGATTGGTCTTGATAATAATTTTTTCAATCTTTTTTTAAACTCTTTTGTTTTATGGTTCATTTGATTAGATTGAATGTAATCTGTTGCAATTGAATCATTTTTCAAGATATTAATTAAAATTTTAATAAAACCATTTTCAATTGATCCGTCAATTTCATCAGCTATTAAACACATTGGCCTCTTAAGTAAATTATTATTGAATATATTGTTATGGATTTTTTCTTTTAGTTGTAAACCGGATCTTTCATCACTTGCATTAATTTCAGTAATTGAATAACCTTGTTGTTTTGCAATGATATGAGAAATTGAAGTTTTACCGATACCTGGAGGACCATGTATCAATAAGATTTTTTTATTTGGTCTTTGAAAGAAATCGGAAGATTCCACGTTATTATTATTATTATTGTTGTTGTTATTGTTATTGATTGTTCTTTTTGGTAATTCCTCTTTGAAGACTAAGGGTGTCCATTGTCTCAACCAGGATAAGATTCTTCTATTTGTGTGTTCGTTACCCACTAAATGGATAAATTTTGTAGGTTTCCATTTTTCGACCCATAAAGAATTATCAGAGATTGAGGTGTGCTTATCATTATTATCGTCGTTATTATTATTATCAATATCATCGCTGTTGTTGTCCCGATCTGATTCAATTTTATCCAAGAGACGATTAATATTGATCCCATAAGAATCATCATTTTTCCATAGGTTATTTTTGTCTAGGCCATTGTATAGGTATTGTTTTTTCTTTATCTGTATTTTCTTTCCGTTTGAATCTACGAATTGGTCTAGATTTGTGTTATTGTCGAATAGTATACTATTTTCTAAATTTAAGTCTAAGTTTAAATCTAGTGATAGACCGTCCATTATGTGGAGTGTGTGTGGGGTGGGGGAGTGTATAGTGGATGGAGGACAGGAATAAACGATGGCGGTTGGAAGGTATTATTTTTAAATGATTTAAGATTGCAAAATCCAAGATTTTTTAGCATGAAGAAAGTAGAAGAAGATAGAGGGACGGACACGAAATGAAAAGAGCAGGATGCCAATTTTTTATTTAAGATTTCTTACGCGTTCCCGTTTACAACGACGAGTCACATGTCCAATCATAATCATGTGACTTCTCAAAAATTAAAATAGAATTTTGAATACAGCAAAAAGGAAATGGACCAAAAATTATAGTTTGGAACGAAGAATGTGAAAATGTTTCAACTTACTTGTGGCAGCAAGATGAAATAAGATGTGTCACAGACGCAGTTAAAGATGAGCTGTTCGAATGGATATGGATATGGATATGGATATGTATGAAGAGGATGAAAGAGGGTAATGGCAATCATCCATCATGCGAGACAGAGCTCAAAAGAGTATTGATCTTAGATGAGTGGAGCAACATGGTATGGAGTGGTATGATTTTTAGCATTGTTTTATTATGTGTTGTCTTGATTTTGCTTTTGCTTTTACTTTTGCTTTTGTTCTTGTTCTTGTTCTTGTTCTTGTTGGTGTGGGTTGGTGAGTATTGGTACCTTGTAGTATCGAATAGTTGAATCAAGAATCAAGAATCAATCTGGCTGCCCACACCGAACCCACTCCAGTTGGTCCAGACGAAAAGACAATTGGAGAGTGGGAATGGTTGAGTTTAAGGTAGTGAGAATGAGGATGAGGATGAGGATGAGAATGGAAATGAAACAGCCAACAGCCAAATAGAAACTTGCGAGTCATTCTTGTATCAGGTGAGGTGAGGTGAGATGGGCTGGACTCTCTCGCTCTCTTGTTCTGCATTCATGATAGGTAAAACAGCAACCACAACCACAACCACCGACGCAAATCGGGCATTGAACTTGCAGATGGGAGAGACACATCAACCGTACATAGAGACATGCGAGACATGGATCACTATCACTATCACAATTTTTACCACCCGGGGGAGCACAGTGCGTACACCACACATATCCCGATCTGTTCATCGTGTATATCTATTTCCACCCAGACACACACGCTAGCCCTTCCTCACCACAAGACATACCCCTTTCTTTCCGGTCCCTCCCTCCTCGCTTACGTGCCAGGTTGTTGTCAGCATGCTCATTAGAGCAGTCCTCCATAATGGCAAACCTTATTACTCATGCCGAGACTGAGCGGTGGGAGCTTTCTCTCCCTCTCTCTCTGTCGTTCTCGTTTCGAAACAACACTGGAGTGCTCTGCTCTGCTCTGCTCTGCTCTGCACTGCGCTGCTCTGCTCTCCCACACACTGCAAATGATCTGTTTCTGCTGCTTCCGCCCAGATCCCGGATCTCCTCGCTCGCACTCGCACTCTCGCTCTCGCTCTCGCTCTTCACCCCGTCCACAAAGAAAACGCACTCTTACGCGAAGACACGCGCGTCTGTCCATCGCCCATCCACAAACGCTCAATTCGCTTTCGCATTCGCTTTCGCATCCGTATTCTCGCGTTTCTCGCGTCGCCCCCCGTTTAAGGTAACCCTGTCTGTTTTGGCTCACCTCACTACAATCTCCCATTTCCTATTCCACTTGCAATTTCGAATTTCGAATTTCGAATTTCGAATCAACAAACTTTCATATACTTTGCCCTCGCGTGCGCTTCTTTCTCTTCTCGGCAACTCCCACCTGATCCAATCACCTCTCACCGTGTCTGAATCAAGCTCAAGCTCAAGCTCAAATTCAGAATCTCGACAACAAAAAAGACTCTATTCTAGCTCTCTTCCCTTCCCTTCTCTTCTCCAGTGGGTCTCTGGCAAATGGTTTCGGTATACTGTAATTCTGCAACTCTAGAGCGCAGTGACTATGGTAACTGGCAAAGGGAGAAACCAAACTGAGAGGATACCTATCTGATGGGTTTCTTTTGCTTCTGTATTTACAGCTTATTGTCAACAACATACAATACACATACAAACATGCTTGCATGCATGCCTGGCCTTGCTACATTGCTGTTTCATGTTGCGTGATTGATCAACATCTGGGTCTCTCTTGACCTCTCTCGTACGTTGTTGTTTTTTTGGGCTAACCTGCTGCGTTTATCTCTCTTTCCCATTACTACTTGCATCTTTTTTCGAAGGAAAAAAAAATATATAACAAAAATATCAAATCGATTACTAACAACTCTCTTAGGTTTTGTATGAAAAATTTAATGTAAATATATGATATATTAAAAAAGTCGTGTTTCTTACTACTCTCTCTCTCTTGTTACCAGCTTATTTACGCTGCAGGTAAACAATTGCTACCTTTCCTCTCCTTCATATGAATCTTGAATTCGAAATCAAACTCAATCACTTGCTCATGAATTCTGCGTTTCCTAAACATAAGATTTTTTTTTTTCTTTCTTCCTTTCTATACCTTTCTTTCTTTTTTAATTTTTAATCTCTTATTTTTGGTGAATTTGGATCATATATAAACTCAACGTTCATTATCTTTTCTAATCAATTATTTCTATCTCCTATTCATTTATATATTTCCTATATTATATTTTATCTTTGGATCATAAAAAAAAACCAATCAAGATATTACTCTTATTCTAGTCCATTCGCTAAACATTATATCAACAATGCAATTCTCTACTTTGTCTGTCGCTTTCTTCTCTTTGGCTACTTTGATCAAGGCTGATGCCATCTCTCAAATTGGTGATGGTCAAATCCAAGCTGCTACCACCACCACTGAAGCTCCACGTTCTACCGTTGCTGCCGTCTCTCAAATTACTGACGGTCAAATCCAAGCTACCACTTCTACTCACGCTGTCACTGAACAAACCACCAACGGTGCTGCTAAGGCTGTCGTCGGTGCCGGTGCTTTGGCTGCTTTCGCTGCTTACTTGTTGTAAGAATAAGGAAAAAAAAAGAATTCAATTTTTTAATTTAATTTAATTTAATTTACATTTTTTATTTTTAAAATTCTACCCAACTTTAGTGTTTTGCATTGTTCACAAAATTATACATACCCTTTTTTATTAACAGTGTTAATTTTTATATTACCATTCATTTCAAAATTAAACTTTCAATTCTCTAAGGTAATTTTTTTTCCATGCTTTTTTCAAATTCTATAGTTTGCTAGTTCATCTATATAAAATTATTTTTTATGATAAGTATTACGCAGTAATGGCTGGCATGTCACTGCCAAATATATATTAGCCTTTTTAGCCAAATCAACATTTTTTTTTTAAAAAATTTCTTTCATTTTCTTCAGTCTTCACATATCTTGATGATAAATATCAACCTGACTTACTCATTCAAGAGCTCTCCATTGACTGAGAAAATAAAAGTGTCTCTTCCTGTCAACCGAGCTGTATAACCAGGAAATGTGTTGACCAACTTTACTGTCATCGTCCTTCCCCTACCCAGTCATTTAACAAAGTTCAATATCCTGATCACTATCAACGTATACAAATGTTCGAAAGTGATAATTTTTCAAAATTCGAAAATTTGAAACTTTTCACCAAATAAGAAATAAATTTTAAGCTCATCGCAAAATTGTACCTCGAACTATATAGTATTAAAGAAACTGTACAATTACAGATAGACACTCTTCTTTTACAAACGTATAGATATATATACCTATACATATATTGATAGGAAAGACACACATACACACAACCATAATACCACTCCACAGCGATGGCTAAACTGGTCCACAACGTGCAGAAGAAGCAACATAGGGAAAGATCCCAACTTACAAGCAGAGCAAGATTAGGCCACTTGGAAAAGCATAAGGACTATGTCAAGCGTGCTCAAGATTATCATAAGAAGGAAAAATCTCTGAAAATTCTTAGGGAAAAAGTGAAGGAAAGAAACGAAGATGAGTACTACCATGGTATGCATTCAAGGAAACTAGATCAAAAGAATAACTTATTATATGTAGATAGAAACAATAACGAAGATTTATCAAATGATCAAGTTAAATTATTGAAGAGTCAAGATGTTAATTATATTAGAACTTTACGTACCGCTGAATTGAACAAAATAGAGAATTATAGAAAGAAAAATTTAATCATCAATTCAACTTCATTAAACAAGGAATCAGATAATCACAAGGTCTTTGTCGATAATAAAAATGAACTGAAAAATTTTAAACCAGAAGTTTATTTCAATACAAGTAAGGAGCTGTTACACAAGAGAGAAAATAGATTGACTAATGACCAGTTATTAGAAACTGAATTTTCTTCCTTTGATTCAACAGTTAATGAAAGTTTAAAAAGGAAGAAATTGAAAAATTTAAAAATCATGCAAAGCCATATTAAAAGAGAATCTGAATTGAAGAATATTGAACAAAGGATGAATTTACAAAGAGAAGTAATGAAAAATGGATCAAAGAAGAAGATCACCGATCCAAAGACTGGTAAAATATCATTTAAATGGAAAAAACAACGTAAGCGTTAATCATAGTTCATATCGAAAAGATATAATTCATTCTAACTATTGATATCAATGATAAGAATATTTATATTCTGAGAACATTTGCATTTACATAACCTGTCGTCATTAACAAAGTAGTGATTTAGATAATAATCTATTACTATATATCGAAACTATTATTTTTTATAGCATTCCATTCTTTCCAATATATATGTACTTTTACTCAAACTTTTATTTTAAGAGGCACAATTTATATATACAGATATATACATAGTTCAGTAGTAATTGTAGAGAATACTAAATCAATTACACCAAGGCTACAATAACGTTGGCATAGCTATGTCCATTCTCTTTCCCATTTTCTCAACTACAACACAGCCTATCTCAACTGAACTTCTAGATCATCGAACGGCTATTACAAACACACATATACCATAGCATTCGGATCTCATAGCCGCCTCTCTCTCACCCTCATCTTCAACTATCACCATAATTCCGCTGCTGGTTAAGTATACGTACGTATGCCAATTTATTATTAATGGCAAAAGAAATTGGCTGGGTTCCCCTCATAACATACATTACAAACCTCTTGTTAGACGTCATTATTCTTCCACTAATAGATATCAAAAATTTCCCTGGTTCCGTGGACATTAAATCCCGATTATTTTGATATTCTTTATCATCACCATCACATTTATCATTTATCATTTATCATGAAGTATCTATATGAAATGAACAGCAGACAAGTTTGTAAGCCTACGAATCAACAATCCAATCCATTCATCATCACCTTCTTCTTCTGATCCTTTAGAATTTGATGCTCTTATTGTCACATTTCATCTTATTTTTTTCTTTTCTCTTCGGTCTTTCTACGCCGAATCCTCTACCCCTCTCCCGAGTTTTTCCGAGATCTGGTGCTCGTACAATTAAAACAACATAAAACAAGAATATTTTGGTAGGATAGGCTGGTCGGCAATGAAAGTTCTATCTTTCTATCATTCATTCAAACTATGCTCTGATAATGCAGTCAAACAATAGCTATTGCTAACAATACAATAAACTGTTGAACTATAATTTTTTTTTTGTAAGATCAAAGACTATCTATCGAAATTAACGGCACTGATATCAACCACAGTTTAAGATGTCTTACAATAACTACCGATCGACTGGTGCTTCGATATTCTTTACTATTACTATTAACTCAACTATATCTCAGACTTTTTGCATACATTTTTGCTTTGATTTTTTATTTTGTTCGCATTTTTTTGGAAAAGAAACCGTAGAAAATCGTGATACGAGCAAGAAAAGAAGGATGCCTATATTCCCTCTTCTGTGCATAGCCTTTCGTTTCACCTACAGTTTTCTCACTCGTAAAAACTTCTCAACAAACAATTGAGCAAATGATGAAAAAAATAAAGGTGCTGCTTTGAACAAATTCACCAAGAAATTTCGAAATATTCGAAAAAAAAAAAGATAAAAAAAAGACCAAGACAAATCACTGATACTACATCAAATTATTATAATGTTTAAAGGTCAAAAATTATATGCACACAAGCCTTCAATTTTTAAGAAATCAATGACCCTCTTTTTCGATCAATAAATTCGGTTAGCTTATTTCTCTAATTAAGAACTACTTCTACGCTGACTGCATCCTCTTTATTATACCAAATACAATACATATTTACATCCAAGTAGTAAAACAGAGCTATTACTTGCTTACTCACCAATGAAGTGTTGCTGTTGTTCTTGAAATACTTTTTATTTCCCTTGCCCATGCTCTTCACCAATGTTTCCCTCTTATTAACATAATAGCGTACTAGGTCCGAAGTCCTTAAGATAATTTCATTAGTCTCCTCAAAGTTTATACAATTTCCATTAGTGGATTTCTCTTGAGTAAGAGAGCTAATATCATTTTCCATCTTGATGCATACAGTCAAAGGTTCGAAAGATATATTTATTTTATCTTGGTTCGAACTTCGAGCTTATATTGTTGATATTATATGACGTAGTGATAGTGATCATTCATGACCTTCTCCCCTACAAACAACTATCTTATTTTTATTTTTATCATTATATAGAGTATTTTAATACTGACTGTTGCCTAATATTGTTTGTTATCCTATAATTGTCAATATGATAATATTTATGGCAATGGTGATGTTGTTGATGGTCATAAAAATACATATAAAATGATATCCCCTGTCCTTATAAGTTTATAACTTAATATTTAATATCTCTTTTTTCTGTTAGACTTCCTTGTTTTGAGGGTCTAACTGTAGGCAATTTATAACCGTTTCTCCTCTAACCTCAATAAGTTATTCTACTGGAGAATTGAATATATATACATACATATACACTTGTCATTTATCGATCTTTTTTTCTTTGCTTAATTTAGATTAATATACATATACAAGAACCAACAAAGTTTACTATAAGCATCAAATATATATTTTAAGGAAAAGCATATATTCAATATAAAAAAAATTATTCATTAATGTTAAGAATTTCAACAAGATCATCAATAATAACCCCATCTAAATCATTTTATTTAGGCAGACTGATAGGTGCTCGTTACCAAAGTCAATTTGCACCAAATATTCCAAAAGTTCAAAAAGGTGTTGTATTCACTGAACATAACGGTGAATTAAAATATACTGATATCCCTGTCCCAACACCAAAGTCAAATGAAATTTTAATCAACGTTAAATATTCTGGTGTCTGCCATACTGATCTACATGCTTGGAAAGGTGATTGGCCATTGGCTGTTAAATTACCATTAGTTGGTGGTCATGAAGGTGCTGGTGTTGTTGTAGGTATTGGTGAAAATGTAAAGGGCTGGAAACTAGGTGATTTGGCCGGTATTAAATGGTTAAATGGTTCATGCATGTCTTGTGAACTTTGTGAAACTGGCCATGAAGCTAACTGTGAACATGCTGATTTATCAGGTTACACTCATGATGGTTCATTCCAACAATACGCTACTGCTGATGCTGTTCAAGCTGCTCGTATTCCAGAAGGCTCTGATCTAGCCCAAATTGCACCAATTCTATGTGCTGGTATTACCGTTTACAAGGCTTTGAAGACTGCTAACTTGAAACCAGGTGAATGGGTTGCTATTTCAGGTGCTGCTGGTGGTTTAGGTTCATTAGCTGTCCAATATGCAAAAGCTATGGGTTACAGAGTAGTAGGTATCGATGGTGGTGAAGAAAAAGAAAAATTATTCAGGTCATTAGGTGGTGAAGTTTTCGTTGATTTCACTAAGTCAAAAGATATCGTTGCCGATATTCAAAATGCCACCAAAGGTGGCCCACAAGGTGTCATCAATGTTTCAGTTTCAGAAGCTGCAATTACACAATCCACTCATTATGTCAGACCAACTGGTACTGTAGTATTGGTCGGTTTGCCAGCTAACTCAGTTGTCAAATCTGATATCTTTTCGCATGTTGTTAAATCTATAAATATTGTTGGTTCTTACGTTGGTAATAGAGCTGATACAAGAGAAGCCTTGGACTTCTTTGCAAGAGGTTTAATCAAGTCTCCTATTAAGGTTGTCGGTCTATCTAAACTACCAGAAGTTTACAAATTGATGGAAGCAAACAAGATTTTAGGTAGATATGTTGTTGATTGTGCCAAATGATATTTCAAAAAAAGTTTCTTATAATGCTATTTATGTATTATTGTATTAATGAATTTATAAAACCATTAGGTTGATATACGTACTGACCCTTTTTTTTTAAACGTAATATTGATAGATTATTTTATTAATTATGCAAAGCTATTCTTCTTTCAGTGTCCCTAATCAATTTATCGACATCTTGGTCGAATTTCTCAAATGCCGTATCATGAGCTCCGCTCAATTTACTCTTTTTCTTTAAAGTAACAATAGTTTGTCCACTTTCTTTTATGCCTTCGATTTTAATCTTAAATTTGAAGTTACCCTTCAAAAATTTACAATCATATTCTACTCTTTCCCTTGCCGAAGTCCTATGTAGATTCTTTAACTTATATTCAATATTGTATTTTGAAAATTCTTTTAAAGTTAAAGAATTAACCAAATCAAATGATATATTAGTGACATGATCTCTAACTAGTTTCTTCGATATATTATCATTTACCTTAAAACCACTAAATAGTCTACTGAACCAATTATTTTTTGATGTGGATTCGACTGGTTTGCTCTTTGCTTTATTAACATCATTAAACTCTCTCTTCGCATCATCAGATTCATTGAATTTTGGTTTCAACAAGTTATTTGTCTCGTTCTTTGTTCCTTCCTTCATAATATTATTGTCAGATACATTAGTGATTTCTTGATCTTTATTCGCAACATAATGTTCTTGATTTAACATATCTTCTGATTGTTCAATTAAGTCATTTGCCTTATTTCTCCATTCATTCTTCTCAGGTAAACCATTATTGCCAGAAGGAACAAAATCATCATCAAATAACATAGTGACTCTATTTGGCTTGGTGACATTGTCATCATTAGTATGCAATTCAATTTTCATCGTTGATTGGACATTTTCTTTGGTTGGTGTCTGGTCCATTTCTTCTTCTAAATCTTTAAACATAGAAATGACACTATGAGATAATGCCAATGAATTTTCATTATCATTTACAGGGACCATCGAATACCTTTTTTGAACATATTCATTTGTTGTAGTTTTTTCTGGAGTCAACTTAAACTTTGATAGAATCTCTTCAGTTGTCTCACGAGGTAAAATCAAATTACTATTTAAATTGTTGTTAACATACAAACTGACTCTGACATCTGTTGCCGGTGTTAAGATGTTTGGCGTGTTCAATGTATCAATCGAGACTGCTTTCTTGTAAACTTTTTGATCTGTGTATAAAGCTGATCTAGAGATAGAACTAGAAGTCATGGAGGAACCTATGGAATTAGAATCTGTTGGAGCATCTTCGAATTTATTCAGACTTGAATCAGTTTCCTTTTCATCATACGATAAAATCTGGGTTTTCACCATTTCTGAAGTACCAGCAGATAATTTTATTGCCTGAGCCGTGTAAATATTGCTTGGTATCTCCCTTGCATATGTCATATCAGAAACATCTCTATCACTTGCAGACAAAGAACGAACTGAAGAAAGGTCACCATGACTAGCGTTTAGATTAAATGCAGCCTTTGCTTCCAACTTAGGAATCGATAAAGCGCTATACATTGAAATATCCTTTTTTAATGACGGAGATTTTTTTATGTTGCCAGTACCGCTCTTTGAAAGCTCTAAAAAGTTAACTGATTCATCTGAAACTAAAAATTCACTGAGATCTTTGAAAGTAGTTGATGTGGTTTTAAATGACTTTGGCATTTCCAATAATGAACCATAATTTTTAATAGTACTAGAGTGAGCTAAAACACTTGGGTTGGACATATCTGTATTAGTTGAAAGAGTGCTAAATCTTTTGGAGGCAACATTCGAAATATGATCAAAAGAAATTAATCTTGATTCAGCCATGCTCATTCTATCATTCCTTAAATTCTCAGGATAAATTTCATTATGTGCGTATAACTTGCTAATTGAATTCTGTGATAAGTCAATTGCTTTAGTTGGTTCCTTAGTGCTAGAAGTAACTTTAATCCTGGATTCAAACCAAGCTTTATCGCTCAAGGCTGCCTTCTTTTTCTCTTCAGCATTGATATTTTTCAGTAACGATTCAACCCTATCCGACGTTGGGTTTGTGAAATTTCTACGTGGATCTAAAGATGGGCGACTGACAGTTTCAATCTTGGTCGAAGCTGCACGAATGTTATATTCTTTTTTAACAGGAACTTCTTTCTTTTCAGTCTCCTCTGGGAATTTTGCTAATGTTATTAGGTTTGGCTTAACCATAATAGCTTCTTTTTCTTGCTTGCTATTCTTAATCGCATGATAATTATTTGTCAAGTCTTGTAGTGGCGAACGTTTCTTTTCAACTTCACGAACTTCAGATTCTTCAATTGTGTTAGCCTCATCGATAGTTCTTGCAGCTTCTAAAACAAATGAATTCTTAATTTCATCAAAGACAACTGAGTCCTTTCTTTCAGTAATATCATTTTTCTCTAAACTCGATTCTTCAAACTTTTCTATTGTAGCCTTGATAGTATGTTCACTAACATTTTCGGATTCCATTAGATGTACTGATAGTTCTTTATCCTTTTTAGTAGTTGCAGAACTCTCTTCTTCCTCTAAAATTTTGTCAAGTGCGTCACTAAAGAGCAATTGATTACATATAGTTTCGAAGTCTGCTTCTGAATCTAATTTAGGCAAAGGTGGTAAATTTTCGGAATTCAAAAAGGTAGCCTGGTATGTATAATCTTCATTTTTTCCACTTTCATTTTCCTTTAAAAATTCATTTAAATTCAAAGACCTCTTTGAGATGGACTGTAGAGAGTATAATGAACGTTTCGATTCAGAATTAACCAATGTTCTTCTTTCAGAAACTGGGACATGCATCCTTTTCATTGAAGGAGAGTGTATTAATGATCTGTTAGAAGGTGATAAATGTAAAAAGTGTTTCGGAGTCGAAGGACTAATACCCTTGATAGAACTAGATGTCTGTAAAGATGATCTAGATCTGATTGAAATAGTTGAACTGCTTTTTTTGAAAACTTTTGAAGAAGAAACAGGAAATATTGGGAGTGCAACAGGTGGTAAAGCCGGTGGTAAATTTTTGTCGAATTGCATATCCTTCTCACTTTCACTGCCACTCTTTGGTAGAGAATGTAGGCTGAATTGAGCTTTCTGTAATATCTTTGGCGCATCATTTTCGACTGGGGTATCTATTGTCACTACAGGATTTATCTTATTGAATTGTAAAGGTTCTGTATTTACAAATGGAATTGAAATATCTGTTGCAGAATTTGAATTAGTACGGGTATTTGTACTCGTTTCTGTGTCTTGTGCACTAACAGAAATATTTACTGAAGCTGATGAAATCGATGGGGCCTTTGAAGATTTAAAGTTAATCTGTTTATATTTCCATAATAAAGAGTAAATTAACTTCTCTTCAGACATCGGGGTTTGAAGCAATTTGGCAATAATTATATCACGAGAAATTCCATGCCATAAAATCTGTAAATTTTTTAATATAGACTCATCAATATCACTTCTTGCTCTTAATTTTACAATTTCAGTATTTTGTGGAATATTGCTTAACATATTTAAGTCAGAATTTGATTTGCCACGGTGCATAATCTTGTTATTTTTTGTAACTTTTCTATCTTTCTTTCCCAGACGCTTATCATATTTGGTTAATAATGGATGTGATAATATCTGTTCTGTTGAAATTCTTTTAGATGGATCAACTACTAAAATTCTTGAAATTAAATTCTTTGCTTCTTGGGAAATATAACTTGGCATTTGATATCTACCGTTTTGTACTTTGATCAATAATTTTTTGATGTTGTCATCATTAAATGGCAAATGACCAGTTAATAAGGCAAATAAAATGATACCACATGACCAAATATCACTTGGAGCACCGTTATAACATTTACCCATTACAATTTCTGGAGATGCATAATGTGGAGACCCACACGATGTTTGTAATAATCTATTTGAAACTTGCAAAGCTGCCATACCAAAATCTGCAATTTTAATAATTCTTCTTTTCTTATCTAGTAATAAATTTTCAGGCTTTAAATCTCTGTGACAGATATTAAAGGAATGACAGTATGAAATACCATTTATAATCTGTTTAAAATAGTGAACAGCCTCACTTTCAGTCAGTTTCCCCTTTGAGACTAAGTAGTCAAATAATTCACCACCATCGACATATTCCAAGACTAAATACAATTCATTGTTATTTTCCCAGACCTCATAAAGTGCCATTACATTTGGATGCGATAATAATTTCATAATCACGATTTCTCTTTCGATACCGTATGGATTACCACCTCCACTATTTTCTATTGCCGTATTGTCAGTATTTCTAGCGTTATGAGTATTTGTGGTATTATGAATTGAAGAGTAGGATAGAAACAGATCACCATTATTAGAGTTTGTATTTTTCGATCTATGTTGATTATTAAATTTTTTATTTTTTGGAACAATTTTAATTGCAGCCAATTTACCAGTTTCTATATTTTTAGCTAATCTAACCCTACCTGAGGAACCTTTACCTAATGTTTTACCCAATTTCCAAGGGCCCACTGTATCTCTAGTTCTTCTTTTATTTTTATTCTTGCTATTATTACTGGCAGTTGACAAAGTTGGAGTTTTTGATAAAGCAGCAGCACCACTACCACCTCCACCACCGGTCATAGTGGATTCTTGTTGAGACAATCTTTTGGTAGCATCTGTGACAGATTTAACCACTTGATCCAAATGATTCTGTTCAATTGTTGATAGAGAGTTGATGGAACCACTGGTTCTTACACCTCGATGCTGAGAGCTTGAACGATATTTATTGACAGACACCATATGAAAAGATCCAACAAATAAAACTTCTCATGCGAACTTTCGAAATATAAATGAAGCAATTAAAAAGAATATATTAATACTCAGAAGTAAAAATCAAATAAAATAATAAAACGAAGGAATAATAGTTGGTAACTATGCAATCAAGATATTTGACTTTATAGATTTGTTATTGCAAAATCACTAATAATAATAATAGCACTTAAAACAGAATATCGAAATGTATCACTTGACGCTAGAACAATTTTCTACTTTGTCAAAATATATATATGGATATATAAATATTTTTTTTATTGCTTGAGAATCTGTTGTCAGTAAATAAAGCTCTAACTCCACACAATAGACTTGATACTAATCGTTATGATAAAATAACAATACTATAATAAAAATTATCCACAATGTACTAAATATGCAAATATGTGTATATATATAAAAACTACAAAGAATAAAGAAGTAATAGCTAATAAAATTTACATACTCTTTCGAAATCGAATCTCGAAATCAAAATTCAAAGCTCATCATCATAAACCGATCTATAAATTTAGCCTGACCTGACCAAAAACGCGAAATAATAACACACCGAAAACTAAACAAACAATACACCAAAGTAAACTAAACTTTCGAATTCGAACTAAGAAGTTTTTTAATATCCAAAAGACGTGTTTTGTCACTTCTTACAGCTTTCCAAGTTCGAAAGCTCTAAAGTTGGTAAGTTCGAAATAACTACAGAATACGTCAAGAGCAAAGGAAAGGGCATTCCAGTAAGCAATCAAGGGTTTTTCCTACTTAACTCTGTTGGTTTTGAATAAGCCAAACTTGTTTGCAACTAATTTTAACTTAATCGATTGTTTCTATTGCTTTCAAGCAATAGAACTAAAGCTATATAGTTAGAACTTGTCTCTGTTTGCTAGTAAGTTTTCGTGTTGAGAGGTTTCAATACCATCATAGTATATAGGCTAAACAATTTCAAGTTGTTGTTGTAGTTGTAGTTGTCGTTGTTTGTCTCTTGTATTACTTGTCTGTTCTATAATTGGGACAATGCACTTTTGATTTAATTTTGCTTTGCTCTTTCTGGGACAGGAATCTCTCTCTGTTCTTTGTTTTGGTTCTAGTTTGATGGATTGATTACACTGGATAAGTTTTTTCTTTCCCAACAGGCTGGTTGGAAGGCTTAGTTACTGTTTGAGTGTGTTAAACTGGAATCCATTATAACGTTATTGAAGTATTTTTAGGAAGACGACGAGGGAGGGAGGGGCCAGTGGAGGGGATGAGAGAGTTTGGGAACTGTCTTCTTCTGATCTCGTGACTTCATTACGTTAGACGTCATTTAATATATATGTAATATGTAATTTGCTCTCTGAGGTATCTGATGTTGCGTTTAGTTCGAATCTGTTGCAATTTTTACTCGTTCATTATATCTGTTAGCAGCAGAATCTAATTCCCATGCTGTGATTAAGGTTGCTTTTGGCTGTCTGTATTCTTAGGGGGGAAGGAGAACAGTTGAATATGCTATATTATTAGTTATCGCAACGCAAGTGATTATACTAACATTCTTATCTTAGTCATATATATATATATATATATATATAGATAGATATATATTCTGAAGCCCTGAATTTGTTGCAAACGTTTGTAATTGTTGGATATTTGTAAAGATATATAAAGAAAGTAACACATACAGACAGTTCTTATTGTTAAAATATGTTAAGTAACGAAGTAAAATCTCAACAGGAACTAATTAAAAGTTTACAGGAAACAATTTCATTGTTATCCCTTAACAAGGATGAGACCTTTATTCAAAAGAGAAATACTACAGATTACGACGAACTAGAAACCTACCATTTATCTCTACAGAATGAGGTGAACTTGAAAAGGTATTCAAAAGCTTTCATCGAATTCCAATATAAAAACCCAACTACCTATCATGTCGTTGAACATTTCAGAAACTTGTTAATTAGAGCTGGTTTTACTCAACTTGATGAAAAGAAGAACTGGTCTACTACTATCAAGAATTCAATTGGTGGTGATTATTTCACTATTAGGAATGGTACCAGTATTTGTGCATTCCGTGTAGGTAAAAACTGGATTCAAAGCAATGGTGTTGGTGCTATCAATTGTCACATCGATGCTCTTACTGCTAAGCTAAAGCCAGCATCTATTAAGGATGATATCGAAGGTTTCCAATTATTGGGTGTTGCTCCATATGGTGGTACTTTAAATGATGTTTGGTTCGACAGAGATCTGGGTATTGCTGGTCGTATCCTAGTTAGAGATCCTCAATCTAATAAGATTATCTCTAAATTGATCAATTCAGCACCACACCCAATTGCTAAGATCCCAACATTAGCCCCACATTTTGGCCAACCTGCTGTCGGTCCCTTTGATAAAGAAGATGAAGCTGTTCCTGTTATCGGTTTCTCTGATTGTCACCCAAAAGACAATGAAATCTCTGAAGACGAATCAAAGTGTCCATTAGTCGGTAAACATTCTATACATCTATTGAGATATATTTCAAAATTAGCTAATGTCAAAGTATCTCAATTGGTACAGCTCGATTTAGATTTATTCGATGTCCAAAAGGGTACTTTTGGTGGTCTAAAAGATGAATTTTTATTTGCCCCACGTCTTGATGATAGACTATGTTCATTTGCTGCCATGAATGCCTTGATCAGACGTAAATTGAAATGCGAAGAAAACTCAATTCCACCTAACACAACACTTGGTGGACAAGGTGATGACCATTTTGAAATTGTTACATTATATGATAACGAAGAAGTTGGATCACTAACAAGACAAGGTGCCAAGGGTGGATTAATGGAATCTGTTATCAACAGAGTAGTTTCAGCACAAAGAAACATCGATATAATCAATTCTTTTGATGATTCTTTCAATGAATGCAATTTTAATACCGCTGATATTCATCAATTATACGCTAATTCCGTTATACTTTCAGCAGATGTTAACCATATGTTGAATCCAAATTTCAAAAACGTCTATATGAAGAATCATTCACCAAAACCTAATGTCGGTGTCACATTGTCTTTGGATCCAAATGCTCACATGGCTACCGATGTTGTAGGTGTCACAATTTGTGAAGAGTTAGCCAGAATTAATAATGATAAGATACAATACTTCCAAATCAAAAATAATTCAAGATCTGGTGGTACTATTGGACCATCTATTGCTTCGCAGACTGGTGCTAGAACTATTGATTTAGGTATCCCACAAATGGCCATGCATAGTATCAGAGCAACAACTGGTTCATTAGACGTTGGTTTAGGTGTCAAGTTCTTCTTTGGTTTCTTCAGAAATTGGAGAGAAGTTAATGCAAGTTTCGGAGATTTGTAAGGAACTGAAGTTGCTATCAAATTGACAAATGAAACAAACAACAACAACATAATAATACCAGTCACTCTACTTATCTATTTAAAACATTTAGCAAATACCTATGTATGTGTACTTTAATATAAGTTCAGTCTATTTGATGTCATCAAATCGTACTATTTCACTTCTTTGGCGGTAACCATTCTACTAATTACCCGGACTAGTTTCAAGTTTCTGCAACGGCAAACTATTTTTTATTTCTTTTTTTCATTCTTTTTCTATTTTTGGACGCATTTCCAAATCGAGCTATCACATATCTGATCTGTGAATATCATTACCTATTTGGGATAATTGAAAACAAACCACTATAATTCAATAGAGAAGAACATGGCTTTTGCCATCAACCTCTAAGTGATTTCGAAATTCAAGTTGTCAATAGGAAATCGATATAATACACTTCTAAAATAGCACAAGATGAACAAAACGTATCGTAGAGATTAGAAGATTATTCTCACAAAAAAGATATCTAGAGTCTTGACTATAGTGATTTGTTTTATAAATTAAGACAGTTCTCTTGGAAGCAGAAGAAAAAAAGAAAGAATACAATTTTGTTGTTGTTTTAAGTTTTAAAGTTTTGATTTATAAACTGCTTCAAACTTTTTGATTTCGAAAGGATTCGTTCCATAAAATTGGGTTTTAATATATTACACTTCACAAAAGGGTTTATATATTTATTAGTTTTGGAGTAATATCAAAAGAAAAATATCCAAAACGAAATCAAAGTCTATTATTAGGTACAAAAACTATTGATCTAATCATTTACCTGATTACAAAGATACAATAAACAGATATATTTATATATATATACAGACATATATATATATTGCACGTATTCAGAGTTAACTTTCAATTCAAAGAGAGAAGGTTTCTAGTGTGCTATTTTGGTTAACGTTCTAATTTAACTGTTTGTGTACGAAGAGCTTTTATATTATCATTCGAGGTCTATTTTAATCGATTTTGATAATTGTTAAGAAAAGAAAATTAGTACTATAATTTAATAAAGAACTTTACTAATCCTTTATTTTTAAGAAGTTTCAGAATTTTCATAGTGGTTTCATAAAATTTCATTGAAAACACCAAATTTATTTTTCAGTTTGATCTTAAGTGTTTTCGTTAACATCATCCATTATTATTAATCATTTATAACATTATTACGCTTCATTGATAATTACTTTGAAATTGTAATAACATATCAATCGTTTTTGGAATAAATATTTAACGATAGAAGCTAAGATTGCATAATACATCTTTAAATTATCAATTCAAAAACATAATTTACACTTACAAGAATTTTTATTTAAGATTCTTCTAAGATAATATACATATAAAAGACATCCAAATACAAAATGTGTGGTATTTTTGGTTATTGTAACTATTTGGTCGAAAGATCAAGAGGTGAGATCGTCGATACTCTAGTTGAAGGTTTGCAACGTTTAGAATATAGAGGTTACGATTCTACTGGTATAGCTATTGATGGCGATGAACCAGATTCTACCTTAATTTACAGACAAATCGGTAAGGTCAGTGCTTTGATTAAAGAAATCGAATCAAAGAACCCAAATAGAGATGTCACTTTTGTTTCTCATTGTGGTATTGCTCACACAAGATGGGCTACTCATGGTGAACCTAAACAAATCAATTGTCATCCACAAAGGTCAGATCCAAACAACGATTTCGTTATCGTCCACAATGGTATTATTACTAACTTCAGAGAATTAAAAACTCTTTTACAAAATAAGGGTTACAAATTTGAAAGTGACACCGATACAGAGTGTATTGCAAAATTATTCAAACATATCTATGATACCAATTTGACTAACGGTGTAGAATTGGATTTCCACGAATTAACCAAATTGGTCCTATTAGAACTAGAAGGTTCATACGGTTTATTATGTAAATCTTCACACTACCCTGGTGAAGTCATTGCCACAAGAAAGGGTTCTCCATTATTAATTGGTGTGAAATCTGAAAGAAAACTAAAAGTTGATTTTGTCGATGTTGAATTCGCTGATGAAAACATTGGTCAACCTGAAACTCCATTAGTTGAAAATAACAATGCTTTAAGTACTAAACAAAGAAATTTCACCGAACAACAAGGAGAAAGCACGTTATTACCTATTGCCGCCAATGAATTTAACTTGAGACACTCTCAATCAAGAGCTTTCTTAAGTGAAGATGGTGCTCCAAACCCTATTGAATTCTTTTTATCATCTGATGCTTCTTCTGTTGTAAAACATACTAAGAAAGTTTTATTCTTGGAAGATGATGATATTGCCCACATTTATGATGGTGAACTACATATCCATAGATCAAGAAGAGAAGTCGGTGCCTCAATGACAAGATCAATTCAAACCCTAGAAATGGAATTAGCACAAATTATGAAAGGTCCTTACACACATTTCATGCAAAAGGAAATTTTTGAACAACCTGAATCAACATTCAACACTATGAGAGGTAGAATTGATTTCGATAATAATAGTGTTATGCTAGGTGGTCTAAAAGCTTGGTTACCTGCTATTAGAAGGGCTAGAAGAATTATAATGATTGCATGTGGGACTTCATACCATTCTTGTCTTGGTACAAGAGCAATTTTCGAAGAATTATCAGAGATTCCTGTAAGTGTGGAATTGGCTTCTGACTTTTTAGATAGAAAATCACCAGTATTTAGAGATGACATCTGTGTTTTTGTTTCACAGAGTGGTGAAACTGCTGATACAATGTTAGCATTAAACTACTGTTTAGAAAGAGGTGCCCTAACTGTTGGTATTGTTAATGCTGTTGGTTCATCCATCTCAAGAGTTACTCATTGTGGTGTGCATATTAATGCAGGACCAGAAATTGGTGTTGCTTCAACCAAAGCTTACACATCACAATACATCGCCTTAGTCATGTTAGCATTATCCTTATCTGACGATAGAGTCTCAAAGGTTGAAAGAAGAAAAGAAATTATTCAAGGCCTGAAGAGAATCCCTGGACAAATAAAACAGGTATTGAATTTAGAGTCAAGAATTAAGGAATTATGTGATAAAGAATTAAAGGACCAAAAATCACTATTATTGTTAGGTAGAGGTTATCAATTTGCTTCTGCTCTTGAAGGTGCCTTGAAGATTAAAGAAATTTCTTATATGCATTCTGAAGGTGTTTTGGCAGGTGAATTGAAACACGGTGTTTTAGCATTGGTTGACGAAGATCTTCCAATTATTGCATTTGGTACCAGAGATTCTTTGTTTCCAAAGGTTGTTTCATCAATTGAACAAGTTACTGCTAGAAAAGGTAAACCTATCATTATTTGTAATGAAAATGATGAAGTATGGAAGAAGAAATGTGACAAAATCAATTTGGTAAAGCTTGAAGTTCCACAAACTGTCGATTGTTTGCAAGGTTTATTAAACATTATTCCATTACAACTAATGTCATACTGGTTGGCTGTCAACAAGGGAATTGACGTTGATTTCCCAAGAAATTTAGCTAAGTCAGTTACTGTTGAATAATTCATTTCCACATCGTAGACTAAGCACATAAATAAACATACCAAAAATAAAGAAGAACAAACTAAATGAATTTGTGCTTGAATAATAAAAACAGGATAAATAATTCAAAAATTAAAAAAATGAAATGTATTCTCCCAATACATTATTGATGTTTTCTTTCGAAGTCACTAATAGATATATTAAAAATAAAAAAGAATACTAATTAGTACTAGATTCAGTCAAATAATACCAATTTTTTTCAACACCTTTAATCTATATTTAAAAACTTCTACGTGATATATATAATTATTTAACTAATTTAACTAATTCTTCCAAAAAAAAAAAATCAGAGACATATTTCTGTCCCCATCGCAAGCCAATTTAAGCATTACAATATTAGTTTTTACTAGTTTCTTATAGGATAACGAATATCCAACAATCGCTCGCATTCTTCATAACAATAGTATACTATAAAACAGAACTACTGAGAGATTTTAAAGATCTGTCATATAATATATAATCTACAGTTATCAACTGTACAATTGCGGTAAATAAATGTATGCTTTCCCACATTACAAGAATACTATACCAAAACACTAAACCATATTACTTCAACATGTAAATAATTACATCAAGCAGAACATCAAACTAAATTGCCTTCCTTCTACAGAAATCGGTAAATAAAAGAAAGCAAAAGCCAAGATTAAGCTGAGAAGCCTTTAACCTTTACGGGGGAGACGGATGAGGGGGGTCTCTCGAGTTACCTTTTTCCCTTGTCTGTCTTTACTAGGAAATATTGGCAAGGTGAAAAATAAACCAAGTTTACGAATTGGATCATTAATCGATTCGAAAATTTGGGAGAGATGGCCTATTATTTCGAACAATTGATGTATTTCTTGTTGTAGTTTAATCAACAATATTATTAAAACTTTAGATTATCATTTTTTATATTAGATGAGTGGTATTTCTTTATTTTATAACGAATAGACTCTTTAATTATACCACTGAGCTTTCAAGAACAAAGGGTTACTTACACAGTTTGGCTTCCATATATTAATATATATGTCGAGAGGGAACTTGAAGTGAATAGATCATAAGATATATATAGTACATCATTCGCTATTTTGAATTATAATTACTTTTAGCTGTGTTCAGATATCAGATATTTTTACAATTGAACAAATAATTGTTGGTACGTATTAATATCAATTGTTAATAGTTATAAAATTCTAGGCATATAGTTAGAAGGATGTCATTTGTTGGGAATAGAAGGCATATAAGGAATAATGCCAATGATATGGAGTCTAGAAGGGTATATAGTGATACTCCTTCAGTAAGTGCGGCAGCGGCAGCGGCAGCAGCAATATCAGCACATTCTCAACCTGCGTCAAGAAATAATAATTTACGTTTATCTTCAATGAATTATAACAGAACAAATACGTTGGTTTCTACTCCTAGAAGGGTTGTTTCAAATGCAGAGACGACTCGTTATGGTAGTTTGAACAGTTCGAGTCATCGTTTTACGAATGGGAGAAGCTCTATGAATAGATCAGCAACAATGGCAAATATGTCATACAATATAGACAGCAATAAAAATTCTAGAGTTCATTCAATTACAGCCAATGAAGTATTTAAGGAGTTTGGCGGGCCAAAGACTCCCGGTGTTATACACAACACAAGAGATTTATCTCGAACGAATAGGTTAAATGGTACTCAATCTTTTAGAAACTCATCGTCAATAACTTCTAATAATAAGGTTAGGTACGTACCTGGGGCACATGGTTTAGTTCCATTGAATGTTCAAACATCTCCGAGACCAAAAAAGAAAGTGCCTAGTATTAATATTGATACCAAAAGATACCAATTATCAGCTCCTACCTCACCGACAGTAATTGATAGAAAACTGTCTTTACAAGTTAGGGAGAACACCCACAATAAAAAGTCAATACAAATGAGAAATACCAACAATATTAAAAACAAAAGCATAGTAGATACTAATGATGGAGATAAGAACACAATTCCAACTAATAAATCAAAAACAACTTTGTTAAATACTAAGATAGATGTAGGGGAAGATTTAGTTGGAGATACATTTAGAAAGATGATAGATGATTTTAGAATCGACAATAGCTATGATAATGATGATAATGAAAAAGATGTAACTAGTAGTAGAGATGGTTTTAAAGATGAAGCAAGGACCAAATCTAGTGAAGTTCAAAAAGATGAAGGAACTATTGCTGTACCAGAGGTGAAGCCAACTGAAGCTGAGACACATTTGAAAGTGGGCGTTGATGGTCATATATCACCAACGTCACCCACGGATAGTGTAATGTCGAGTGATTACCATGATGCACCTGATCATTCTGATCTTCTAGTGATAAACAGTATAGCGGAAACTAATACTGCTAATGAGACCTCAAAGCTTCAGTCAACAGATTCATCAGATAACAATCCAATTGTCCTTGAAACTAACAAGCCACAAGAAACAAGTAAAAACTTTCAAAACCAGGACAAATCTACTGCTCCAATCTTCAGCAATAAAGTTACTAAATTTCCTGGTATATCTGATGAGCTGCCACCGTCAAATGCATTTGAAGAACTGGATGAGATGCAAGATTTGTTAACAGAAGCCATAATGAATGAACGTGATTTAGTTAAAGATGATCAATTATTAGCATCAGAAAATATAGATATAACTATGTCCAGCATCAATACAGGCCAGCTCCAGTTATCAAGATCTTTGAGCAAGTCATCAAATCTATCTGAGGTCTCTGACACCATTAAGAGTAACCCTAATACCCCTATGAAAACTACTTTACGCTCACCAAATGAATCAATATCGGTTTCTCCGCTTACTAAAGACACTTTCAAATCCGAGGATTCGATATCTCCTGAACTTTTAAATTTAGACTCAACAATTAATCAACATTATACTTTTGATACTTCACAGAACAAGAAAAGTACAGTTGCTAGGTTTTCAGCTAGGAACAAACCCATTTTAAACTACAAGGCCAATAATTCTATTTCTGTTGACGAAATCAATGATTTCGACGCTCCTGGTGAAGAGTTAACTCTTGACAAGAAACACTCAATTAGTTCTAGGTCAGCTCAAGATCTTCGCCAGATTAAAAACAAGCCCTCTCCATTACCAATAGCTAAACAGTTAGTCCCGCCAGCAAGGTCCAATCGTAGACCCACAGGAAGAAAGATTGGTGTCGAAAATAGAGAGGGTTCTAATAATACAACCAAAGAAGTTAGAGGGATTCAAAAATCTCCTTCAAAAATGAGAGAAGTTCAACCTGAGTCTGGAAGGTCAAGCTTCGAAAAGGCTCGTAAGCAAGAAAGCAACTTAGGTTTCAAAAGAAAGTCCTTAAGAACTGGTGTCACTAGTCAAAGGCTCAACGGCTCAAATAATTCTTCAAATATGAATAGTCCTGTTTTGAAGAATTCAGGATTCAGTACTCCGACTTTTAGAAGTCCAGATTCTGGTGAACGTTGGGAATCTAGATTTGCAGATTCTGATGATGAAACTGAGAATATCATGTTCAGTGGAAACGCCCACAGCGATAATACTATCCAAAGCATTGTAGAAAGCAGATATAATTCCAATGGATATTACAACTGCAACCAAAAAGGATAGTAGATTTAAGGCTAGTGAATATACCTTAAGAACAGTGACCGAGCTGCCATCTTCATATGAAAACAGTCCATCAGCCTCAGCATTGTCATTTAAACATGAAAACAACTTAGAGAAGCAGAGTTCAAAATTTGGTGGTAAACTGAAAGCATTGTTCGGAAAGAGAGAAATTGATTAATTAAACTAATTTTAAACCTGTTCTGAAATTTTTGACTATTCAGTTCTATCATTATTATGTATTAATTATTATATATGATACTTAGAGTTAAAATTAATTATGCATCTTAGACACATCATGCAGGGATCCACAGACATAATCTATATTTGAATCATTGATACCACTTAGAGATAACCTCCCATCGGAAGTTAAATATATCGAGTACTTATCTTTCAATAGTTGAACTTGATCTATATCAAGCCTTGTAAAATAAAACATACCATGTTGTTGAGAGGAATCTACTAGACCTGACCAACCCAATTTATCATACATTTGTTTTCTGACATTAGTTAATCTCCCAACAATTGAGTGAACGTCTTGGTGCCATTGGTTTCTCAATTCTGGTTGTGACAAGACTAAATTCGCAATGCGACAACCATATCCAGGAGGTGATGAATAAATACCACGAACTATTTTCTTTAATTGAGAATCAATACTTAGTTTTGCTTTCTCTAAGTTTGGAGGTACCACAATACTTAATGAACCAACTCGTTCTCCATATAGACCCATGTTTTTGGCAAAAGATTGACATAAGAATAGACCATGTTTCCAACCCTTATATCTTGATTCATCAAGACAGTGTCTCAACAAATATGCATCATCATATAAACTACCCGATTCCAATCCTTGATAGGCCATATCAATTATCGGTATCATGTCTAATTCATAAACTGTGTCTATAATTTCATTCCATTGATCTATTGTTGGATCAAAACCAGTAGGATTATGACAACATGCATGTAAAATTATCGATTGGGGAAGTTTAGAGTTCGAACTTCTAACTTCAGTTTCTAAGTTGATTCTAACCAACGATCAATAGTAATTTTGCCATCATTATAATATGAATAGTACTTTAAGTTCTTGAAACCATTCATATGGAAGATATTGTCATGATTAGGCCACGAAGGATTTGGAATCCAAACTGTATCAGATATAAATGAGGATAGTAGCTTTGAAGCTACCGCGATTGCACCAGTTCCACTTAAACTTTGGATGAAACTAACTCTATTATCAGCTATTAATTTATCTCCATATTTTGGAACAGAGTCTCTAAATAAAAAATTCAGGACATTATCTCTATAATTTGGGCAACCTGAAATGGGTAGATAAGACAAGTTTTTATTTAATGCATCGTCTAAATCTATAATTTCTTGAGCCTTTGTAATAGCAGGTAAAGTAGACACTTTACCATGTCCATCTTTATAGATACCCACTGTCAGATTAACTTTATTGGTATTTTTATCCTTGACAAATTGTTCAGTTAAACCTAATACACGATCTGGTGGAGCTAATGGTATTTGAGTCAATGTGGATACATTTCTTATCATCAATGAACCTTTCAAGAGATTATAATCCTTAAATCTTTTTAAACATTTGAAAGAAATCATTCTTGTTTTCAAAAAAGGTCTAGCAGGATGTTGATATGTTCATTAAATACAAGGAATAAATTCTAATTTACAATCTTGTATATATCAATATCAAACCTTTACACAATTTTATGTTAATTGGACACTCCAAGTTTATCGTTGTTATACATAATTCCAACTATATTAAGAATAAAAAAAAATAACATCCAAATCTGACTATTTAAATTGCAAGTAATGAAGTTCAATATGATATTTGCCAGCTAAAGTAATAAAGAATGTTTTATACATTAAACATGATTAATTCAAAAAAAAAATTTTAATATTAAATTCATTAATCAAAAAGAGTCTCAATTACTGAGTGTCATTAAGATATT